ATCCTGGATGTCTGTGCTGAGGGAATCTCTGTGATTGTTCATCCCAGTTCCTCTCTCTGGGGTAAAAACTGTTCCACGTTTCCTTGAACATCTGCCACTCCTGCAGCTCCAAAAGGGGAATTTTATCGATTTCATCGTTTCTGGAATTACCAAATTCTGGAATTCTCACACACAGTTCTGGGCTGTGACTGTTCCCAGCCCATGGAGTTCCCTTTGTTCAGGGATTTCCAAATAATGAAAATTTAATCTGAACACCTGAATTTAACCTGCATAAACTTCTACAAAAATGTCCCCATCATCCAGCTCAGTGCAGGAAATCAATAAAATCAAATTAATAAAATACAGAATTATTCCTTCAGCAAAGCTGGGAGGGGAGATGAGTGAGCCCAGCTCTGGCTGGGGCTCCCTGCAGCTCCAGAATTCCCTTGGGAATGAATTTGGGGATTTTTCCTCCTGGTTCTCACACCTGTGGTGATCAGAAACGGAGGCTGACTCTGCCAATGGACTTTGCTTGTCTTATTTTTTATTTCAGATCCCAGATGTAAAAGGCAAATGTATTGAATTTGCATTCTGACACCTTTTTATTTCCTTTAGTTTGATTTTTATCCTGCATCAAAATATTCCAAGACCTTGTCTGCAGGAAAAAGTGGGGAAAAAAAATTGTTTCTCTTGTTTCATTTCAGCATTTTCAAATGGGAAATATTTGTCATTGCTGTGTTTTATAATCACCTTTTGTGGTTTTTTTCTTAGAAAATAAAAACTGTTTGATGTCCATGGAAGGTCCAGGTGTAAATTCCTCTTTTTGTGTTGGATAATTTTGGTGTTTTATTGGTTGTAAAAATGATTCCTTTTACTTGCAGCCCTGTAGAATATTAAAATTTTACATTGGGCTGTGATTTAAGAATTAAGGTAAAGTTTGTTTGTTTATTTAATATTTGTTTTTTATTTATTATTATTTAAATGTAATATAATTAATATAATATATAATAATATAATATAATACTATATACTATATAATATATAATATATTATATATTAATTATAATATAGTGATTATAATATAGTAATTTTAATAGTATATTATGTTCTATTATTAATATTACTATAATATGCATAATAGAAATATATTTTTAATTATTTATTTTATTATTTGCTTTGAAATCATTATTTGTATTTATTATTTATTTATTGGTTTATTTATTATTTATCGTTTATTAATCAACATCTAAATTTGCTGGAGGAGAGTTGGGAGCAAGAGCTGGAAAGAAAATGGAAATAGCATTTAGATAATAATATAATATAATATAATGCAATATAATACAATACAATACAATATAATACAATACAATATAATATAATACAATACAATATAATACAATATAATATATTATAATGTAATATAATGTAATATAATATAATATAATATTATAATAATAATATAATATAATATAATATAATATAATATTACCATTTAGATCACCCCAGCCTTTGGCTGGTCAGTCAAATGTCACTCTAAGAGTCATAAGAATCTATTATTGAGTGAAAAAGTTCAATAATATAAGAGTTAAACTTTTATTGGTGTGTTTAGTTTTCAAAGGCCATTTCCCCACTTGTAGCCAGGAGCTGGAGGTGCTGTCACACTTTGTGTAAATTTTGATCAAATATGAGAAATATCCAAGCCCAAACACGAGACTCACCTCAATCACCTGTTTAATAACCCTGGCTCAGAGGGACAGCAAATGAGACTAATGACAAATCACTAATTAGTGGAGCAAAGCTCACTGTGCAGGGGTGAAGGTTTGGGCTGCAGCACATTCCAGTGGGATAAATTCTGCTTTTCTCCTCCAGCACCATCCCGGCAGCAAATATTCATTTTATCAATTGTCAAGTCTTCATTTCCCTGCCCTGGGCAGAGGGAAGGGGACAGGAGGTGGCAGCTCTGCTCTGTGTCACCCAGGGGCGTTTGGAAGGGATTGTGTCCGGGGAAATGTGCCCTCCACCATTCCATGAGGAAAAATTCCATTTTCCCTGAGGAAAAGGGAGGATGTGTGACCTCATCAGATGAATTCCTGTCAGCCCCCGGCCATAAACCCATAAATGTGTGCAAATATCAGCAGCAGCCTGGGTGAAGGCACTGCTGCCTCCAGCCCCAAATCCCCCTCCTCTGAATTCCTAAATCTTAACCTCTCACAATAATCCTGTGAGAATTTCAGTTCCACATTTAACATTTTTCAGTTCTCACATTTAACAATCTTTGCCTACACAAAGTTCATCTTTTTCTTGTCTTTTCCACTTTGCTGCTGGTGGAAAGGAGAAGATTCCTGAGCAGGGAAAGGGAAGAAGCAGCTGGTGTCATTTTTCCCTGGAAAAACCAGGATTTTAGCTGTGCTTTGCAGCCTGCACTGGCTCTGTCACTCGGGACTCTGTGATGCACAAAATTCCAAACTTCCAAGTGCTGGGAAGGAGCTGGGCCTGGGTTTTCAGGATTATCCACATTATTGGTGCAGCGTTTCAGGGAGATTTTGGTGCTCCAGGGATGCTGTCCGAGACAAGAGCAGGCAGGGCCGGGAGATCAGATGTTGCTCCTCCTGCTGCAGTCACTCCAGGAGGGCAGCACTGGGTGATCCCAAAGCCTCTCTCCCAGCAGAAACCCAAAACCAGCCCTGCATGGTGACAGTTTGCCATTTGTCAGCTCACAAGGAGGGAGTTATTTTTGTTTTCTTGAACTCCTGAAACCTTTGTGAGGAGGGGTCAGCTGGAACTGGGGCTGAACCCAGGGGGATGTGGAGGCTCCTCAGCTTCAAAGTGACACAAAATCCTAAAAAATTAACCAGGGTTGAAAATATTGTGCTTTGGAGCCACGGCAGCATTGCCTGGCTGGTTTGTCCCAGTTTGGATGGGGAGCAGCAGTGGCTGGCACTGGGAATGAGAGCCTGAGTCACTCTGGAATTGTCACTCAGGGCACACAGGAGGCTCCTCGTCCTGGAAGGAGAGGGCTGAGTGTTCCCAGCCCAGCTCCCACATTCCAGGGGCTCTGCTCCCAAAAAAAAACCAAAAAAACATGTGGAGCTGCTGGCGAGAGCCCAGAGGATTCCATGGAGCTGCTCCAGGGCTGGAGCCAGGCTGGGAGAGCTGGGAATGTTCTCCTGGAGAGGAGAAGGATCCAGGGAGAGCTCAGAGAGGGACTGGGGACAAGGGATGGAGGGACAGGACCCAGGGAATGGAGAGAGGGCAGGGATGGGTGGGATATTGGGAATTGGGAATTCCCCGATTTGCTGTGGCTGCCCCTGGATCCCTGGAAGTGTCCCAGGCCAGGCTGGATGACCTTGGATCACCCTGGGACAGTGGGAGGTGTCCCTGCCCATGGCAGGGGTGGGAATGAAATGATTTTTGAGTTCCTTCCCACCCAAACCATTCCATGATCCTCGGATTCTGCACCAGTGAATTGAATAGTGTTTTGTTATAAATTCT